AAAATGTCACAAGGCACAGAACCTGGAGAATGTATGTTCACTTTACACTAATATACTTTCAGAAATGAATGAATAAACTTTTATTACCAGGTATCTTAAGAAAACTTCTAATCCTAGGCATGTCACATTGATGGATGGAGAAAAGTGTGGGTGAGTGAACACCTTCAGAAAGATCACTCTTCTAGAACAGCTTTAATTGCCTTGTTTTAATTGCAGAAATCTTGATTGGACCTTGATGAATCCATTCTATTTTTCTTTTATGCTATTATTCACACAATAAAAGGCACGAGAGCCACTGAAGGTAGATTTTTACTGAATGGTGAAATCATACATAGAATTATTTCTGTCTGAATTTCTGGGATGCAGACTTATTTACACTATTTACATGGGGACCATTGTCCTTACCTTTTTTTTTTGTTATCTCAACTATTTCAGATGTTGTGCTCTCTGCCCTTTATCGGGTGTATACCAATCTAGGTAGCATACAGGGAATTCCAAAATGAACCCTTAAATTTAATCTATCAGAGTAGACTGTTCTTATTCCACTCCCCATGTACTAAAAATGATAAGCAGATGAGATATAGCTAGACATGGAAACCCCTATCAATACAGGGAAAGAGTGATAAAAGCCACTAGACTTGAGAAACCTGTTTTCCTAAAAGCATTTTAAGTGAAAATTTTTATAAATTTCAGTATAATAAACATAAGTGGCTGCTTTGTCAGTGAATGCCAAATGTTTCCTTATAGGGAAACAGTTAATATTACCATTACCATTATAAAGAAGTCAACCGAAGTCTGGATCACCAAGTCAATGTGAACAATCCTTTTTTTAGCTGCATAGTATGTGCTTTGCCAGGGCAGTATACAGTTTTGAATTCAGAGTTTTTCTTCTCCTAGACCAGTTGCCATTAAAGGCTATAGAAACCAGTCTGTCCTACTATTTACCCATAGTTGGGGGGAATAGAATTGGATTCATACTTTCCTAAGGTTATTAATATGTAAGTGAATGTAGTGAACTCGGCTGGAATTCAAATTCGGGTCTCCTGTTCCTCAATCCAAGCCGCAATCCAATACTCTTCCATGCCCTAATTGTCATCAAATATTTAAAGCGTACAAATACTTAATAGAAAAATTCTCAATTCAGTTCCATAATGTGTTACTTAAAGTGTAAAAAAAAAAAAGTCAAATAACATAACTATTCATTCTTAAATGCTGAACCATTACAAATTAATAATTTGATATGTTTTAATTTCTGTATAATTTCTAAAGGTTTCAAAGTTTCTTAATGATTTCAGCTAGTAGTGTTAAAACCAGTTGTTACTCAGACTGTCACTGATACATTATCCTTTTATTTATATCTAGCACACGATTGTAATAGTAGTCAAAAAGTGTGTGAATATTTAACAAAAAATTCTTGACTCAATTTCAAAGTGTGCTACTTAAAGAATATAAAATGTCAAATAACTTAACTATACATGATTTAAAGCCGAACCTATGCAGATTAATAATTTGATATATTTTTTAATTGATGTGTAAATTCAATCTTTCTCCGTAAATTATAATTAAATTTTAACTTGGTATCCACTCAGTCGGGATATTTTATCATAATAATTTCCAATAAAAGGATGATTTATTTTGCCTGAATCTGATTAATTAATACAATATTTTCTAATAATGTGTCTGCTATAATTTGAATCTGTTCAATTTGTTTTACCAAATCTTAATTCATATGGATTTTTTTAATTTATTCTTTGCAAAAACTACAAACCCACAGTGAATAATTATTATTCTTCTGCTATATGATGTGTCCCTTCAAAACGTTGGCAGTCATGGCTCTCCACAATTTCCTGTTCTTTATAGCTCTTAATGAATTTATCTTTTTGCCATGTCTCCCAAGCCCTGCTCCACTATCCATTCACTCAAACTTGTCAGCTAAGTTATGCATTGTTTTCCTCTATCCCTCTTTGCCTTCAATCTGTCCTGTGAGTATCAAATTTTCCAAGCTCTCTTTCCTCATTATGTGCCCTAGAAATTTCAACTTTCTCTTTCTGATGTTAAGTATAAGTTTCCTTTTTTGTTTCCATTTTCTCCAAAACTTGCTAGGTAGGTTATACATTGTTTTCCTCTATCCCTCTTGGCCTTCAATCTGTCCTGTGAGTACCAGATTTTCCAAGCCTTCTTTCCTCATTATGTGCCCTAGAAATTTCAATTCTCTCTTCCTGATGTTAAGTATAAGTGTCCTTCTTGTTTCTATTTTCTCTAAAACTTGCTAGGTAGGTTATGCATTGTTTTCCTCTATCCCTCTTGGCCTTCAATCTGTCCTGTTAGTATCAGATTTTACAAGCCTTCTTTCCTCATTATGTGCCCTAGAATTGTCAATGACCTCTTTCTGATGTTAAGTATAAGTCTTCTTTTTGTTTCCTTCTTCACTAGAACTTTTTTGTTGCTTACATGTTTGGTCCATGGTATCCTCAGCATCTTTCTGTAGTACCACGTTTCTGTTGCTGCAAGTCCCTTCTACATTCGTGAGAGATTTTCCAGAATTTACTACCAAATATAGGGACAGACTTTACGTAACAGTTCAATACTAGTCTCCTCCTTCTATGTGCCATGTCCCTTCAGGATGTTAGCAACCATGACTCTCCACAATTTCCTGTTTTTTGTAGTTCTTAATAAATTTTGTCTTTCATATACCTTCTTCCCTCATCCATTTACTCAAGTTCGCTAGGTAGGTTATTTGTTGTTTTTTCTATCACTCTTGCTTTCACTCTGTCCAGTGAGTATTAGATTTTCCAGGCTTTCTTTCCTCATTATGTGACCTACAAATTTCAACTGTCTCTTTTTGGTGTTAAGTGTCCATTTTGTTTCCATTTTCTCTAATGCTTGCTAGTTAGGTTATGCATTGTTTTCCTCTATCCTACTCTGCCTTCAATCTATCCTGTTAGTATCAAATTTTCCAAGCCCTCTTTCCTCATTATGTGCCCTAGAAATTTCAACTCTCTCTTCTTGATGTTAAGTATAAGTGTCCTTTTTGTTTTCATTTTCTCTAAAACTTGCTAGGTAGGTTATGCATTGTTTTCTGCTATCCCTCTTTGCCTTCACTCTATTCTGTGAGTATCAAATTTTCCAAGCCCTCTTTCCACATTATGTTTCCACATTATAGTCTCCTCCTGATGTTAAATGGAATTGTCATTTTTGTTTCCATCTTCACTAGAACTTCATCATTCCTCTTATGTTTAATCTATGATATTAGTATTTCCAAATTTTTAAAAGCTCCCCAATTTTTTTTAATCATTTCACTCCAAACAAGGCAGTAATGCCACTAGTATGCTTGGGATTACAGGGTGTTAAAGTGAAAGAGAAGACTGAAAATAGGGAGGAATGAGGAAAGAACAAAAGATGAACAACATTCATGAAGACAGAAGATGGTGATTTAGGTTGCAGTTAAATATTAGAAGATTTTATTTCTCAGTGAAGCAAAGAAACTGACGTGTCTTTCACAAGTGAGAAGTGCGAGAAAAGAAACTGTTTAAAGTAGAAGTGGTGGTTTCATTTAGCTATTTCAACAGTAAAACAGTGGGACCTAGTTGCTAATCTATTAACATGCCTAAATTCTTGTAGTTGGGACACCAGGAAAAATCGCTTGTCAGAGAAATTGCAATGAAAATACTTGTAGAGAAGACAAAGGAAAGCTATGTCATGTTCTTTTTTCTTTCTTTTTCTTTTTTTTTTTCTTTTTTTTTCTTTTTCTTTTTTTTTCTTTCTTTCTTTTTTCTTTCTTTCTTTTTTCTTTCTTTCTTTTTTCTTTCTTTCTTTTTTCTTTCTTTTTTTTTTTTTCTTTCTTTTTTCTTTCTTTTTCTTTTTTCTTTCTTTTTTTTTTTTTCCTTTTTTTCTTTCCTTTTTCTTTTTTCCTTTTCTTTTTTTTTCTTTTTCTTTTTTTTTTTTTCTTTTCTTTTCTTTCCTTTTCTTTTCTTTCTTTTTTTTTTCTTTCCTTTTTCTTTCTTTTTCTTTTCTTTTTCTTTTCTTTCTTTCTTTTTTGTTATTTCTTTTTCTTTCCTTTTCTTTCTCTTTTCTTTCTTTTTTTCTTTCTTTCTTTCTTTTTTCTTTCTTTCTTTTCTTTTCTTTCTTTCTTTCTTCTTTCTTTCTTTTTTTCTTTCTCTTTCTTTCTTTCTTTTTTCTGTAGTTGATTATATGAGTTTTTTATATATTTTTTTTCTTAAACCTTTGTATGTTCATTCTTACTGATGCATTCACTTTTTGGTGATAAAAGTCCCCAGTTACACTTCATGATAAATAACTTGTATTTGTTATCAAGACATAATAACTTCATAACCTCCTAACTCGGCTGGGACCTGATTTTTATCAAATAAGATAAGCTATTATTTTACTTTTCTTATTTTTTAAAAATAATTTTTCTTCTTTACCAATTTTCTTTCAGTTTTCCTGATCATTACCTATTTTCAATGTGTGTATGTTATAGAAATTTAAAGAACTGTTGCAATTTCTATTGCAATTCTTCCTATGCTATTTTAAAGATATGACGGAAGATAACTGAAATAGACATTAGAAACACCTGAGGTCCAAACTAGTGAAATCGATACTCTTCAAAGCCAATTGCAAAGAATCTCAAATTTTTCCTTTTTCTCAATAAGAATTTCTCTCTTTCCTTTCCTAATTTCTTTTTTTTTTTCTTTCTTTTTTTTTTTTTTGTTTTCATTTTGTGTATTCAGCTTGCTTATTTTTTTTTATTCTTATGCTTTCGTCATAAATGGAAGAATTAGAAAAATTAAAATGGAATGAAAAAAGTACTTAAGGCTTTGATATCTCTGAAAGACATCTGCATTTTATGCTCGGCTGATAAATAATTTTTACTCTGCATTTCTTCATTTTTTTTTTAAAAATTTTGGGAAATATCTATGTTATGTGATATTTGACATTTTTTATTCCAATTTAAAATTTTATTACCTTAATTTTTTTTTTTTTTTTAGTTTTGAATCATTTTATGCAAATGGAATGGTGAGACTGCAAGATTTCACTTGTTGGGTTTTGTTTGATATTTGTACTAGAAAAATAGGAAGAAATATAACTGAGGGAAGAATGAAGAAAGGAAAGGAAGGATGCAAAGAACTGAAGACAAGAGAGGAATTTGGAAAAGGAATGAAGAAGACTTTGGATAAAGGAAAAAAAGGCAAGAGTGAGAACTCTGAAAGGGAATGAGAAATACAAAGAAGTAAAACCCAAAAAATGGCAACTGTAAAAAGGCATAGAAAGGGCAAGAGGTGGAAAAATTGAAGTAAGTAAGAGACAGAAACTGAAAAAGGATGAAGAATACAACAGGGGTGAATGAAAAAGACAAGAGAAGAAGGCTGCTTTGGTTTCTTCGTTGTTTTTCCATCTAAGAAATGAGCGAGGAACTGGAAAAGGAATGTAGAAGAAAAAGCTTTAGAAAGAGAACAATTGTAAGAACAGGAAATGAAGAATGCAAAGAAATGAAGGAAATGGTGGAGAATTGGTAAAGGTATGAAAAAAGTAAGAGAAGACAAGTGGAAAGGAACTGAAGAATGTGAAAAGGGGATGAATGAATACAAAGGAAAGAGAAAAGAATCGAAAATGGGATGAAGAACACAATGAAAAGAGAAGGGAAGCCTAAAGAAGATGAAGAATATAAAAAGAAAGAGAAGGGGAGCCTAAAAGAGATGGAGAATACAAAGGAAAGTGAAGGGAAGCAAAAAAGAGATTGAGAAAAATGAAGGAAAGAAAAGGGGAGCAAAAAGAGGATGAAGAAAATACAGAAAAGAGTAGGGCAGTGAAAAAAGGATGGAGAAAATGAAAATTGAAGGGGAGCAAAAAGGGATGAAAACTACAAAGAAAAAAAGAAGGGAAGCGAAAAGGAGATGGAGAAAATGAAGAGAAGGAGAGTGAGAAGTGTTTGAAGAATATAAAGGAAAAAGAAGGGAAGCAAAAATGGGATGAAGAAAAGGGTATGAAGAATACAAAGGAAAAAGAAGGGAAGCAAAAATGGGATGAAGAAAAGGGTATGAAGAATATAAAGGAAAAAGAAGGGAAGCAAAAATGGGATGAAGAAAAGGGTATGAAGAATACAAAGGAAAAAGAAGGGAAGCAAAAATGGGATGAAGAAAAGGGTATGAAGAATACAAAGGAAAAAGAAGGGAAGCAAAAATGGGATGAAGAAAAGGGTATGAAGAATACAAAGGAAAAAGAAGGGAAGCAAAAATGGGATGAAGAAAAGGGTATGAAGAATACAAAGGAAAAAGAAGGGAAGCAAAAATGGGATGAAGAAAATGAAGAAAAGCAAAAGAAAGCAAAAATGGGAGGAACAATACAAAGAGCTAATGACAAGAGAAGAACTGGAAAAGGAATAAAAAAAAAATTAAGAGTTGTGCTTTTGAAAGATAAAGAAGGCAAGAGAAAGGACTTGGAAAAGGAAATTGAAGGCAAAGGAAAGAAATTTGGAAGTGAATATAGAATGCAAATAAAAAAAGATGAACAATAAAGCACAAAGAAAGATGGTAAAAAAATAAATAAAACAGAAGGGAAAAGTGAATTTTAGGAGAGATCGAAAGAGACTTTAAGAAAAGATGGTATTTTATGATACTTTTGTGATGCAAATAAAATGCTTGTATCTTTTATGAATGAATCTTTTTTGCAATGCGGAAGACACTTTCTTCCAATTTCTGATTTTTATGAATCAAATCTTTATTGTTTCCCTTCATTGAAATTCTCCTTAAAGACTCTTGATTTATTGCCACTCAAGGCATAACAATTAGTATTTAACAGTCTTTATTGTTCCTTCCTTTAATATTTTATTTTTTAAAAACTATCTCCATCTTGGCATTCAACTGACTGGAAGAGAAAATGTTTTAACACCTATTTCTTGCTTTAATTTCGCAGACCAGATATTTGCATCAAAAGTGTCTCTGCTCTGGGTTTTTTTTTCTTCTCTAATGAAAAGAATCAGGCATTGGTATCATGTGAGATAAACTATCCAAATGCTACAGAGCAGTAGTTCTTTTCCTGTTGGGTTACACATACCATCAAAAAAAAAGTAAGGGAGAGAACTCTAGTATATAAAAGGCTTGCAGACAGGACAGACAAAAATATTAGATAAACTTGTCATATTATAGAGATAAACTACTTTGTTTTGTTTTTTTTATCCTTTTCAATATACAAGTGTAAAATATATTTAAATATTTTAAAGATGGTATTTATCATAAATTCATAGGCAAATTAGAATAATATTTATCAACAGTATTACTTACATAATAAGATCCATTACATGTACTTTAAAAATAAGACTCAAGACTATTTCTTGACATTAAAAATAAATATGGATCATTTATTGATAAAATTCTTCTTCTCTGTGATAGTTCTTACTAAAGTCTACCTTTTCACTATCCCCCCAAATCCCTGTTCTGCCAACCATTTACAAAAAATTTGTTAGACTGTTTTCCTTTAATATTTTCCCTTCATTATGTGAGTGCAAAATTTTCCAACCCTTCATTTCTCATTAAATGCTTTTGAACTTTCAAGTATCTCTTTCTGATGATATAAGTGTCCTTTTTCTTTCTATTTTCTTTAAAATTTCCCCTTTAATTTCTTATGCAGTCCATCCATGTCATTTTTCAACATACCTCTGTACAACCACATTTTGGTTGCCTCAAGTCCCTTCTTCATCTGTGATAAGATTGTCAATCATTCACTACAATACAGGAGGTCTGATATTACATAACAGTTCAGTATTCTTTTCTTTGTTTTTAATGGAATGTTTCTGTTTCTTAATATTTTGCTTAGTTTTTGGAAAGCATCTTTTGTTATTCCACTACATCTATGAATTTCAGTGTCACATCTTTCATCCTCTGTTAAAATATTTAAATTTTCCTGTTTGTTTGATTTTGGTGTCTCTAATTTGTAGTTTGCATCTTGAGCTGTTCCTCTTGCCACTCATTTTTTAACAAAGTTTTATAATCATCAATTTTTGGCTAAAAAATGACTAGGCCTGATCACGTGATCATAATCAATCGATCAAATATTATATTAAATGGATAGCAATCTGAGCTACACATTTTTGCATAAAATGGAAAGAATTCTCCAACACCAGTTGGATATGAGGCATATTATGGCATAGCCACGTGTCTCTCAAGTTCAATTTCATTTGGAAAACATTACTCTAAATAAATATTTTTAAAGACTCCAATTGCATTTTCAACTTCTTTTTCCTATATTTTTACACACATGATATATATATATATATATATATATATATATAAAACCTTACTTTCTTATATACACAATTTCAAATATCAAAATAACATTTGAAGTAATATTAATACCAGATTAATGTATATTAATTCTTTATATATATATCTTGTGAAAATTGATTCATAAGTTCTTTCAGTAATATTTTTAGAGTTAAACTTTGTGTAAGTAAAATCATTTTTTTAAAAATTTCTTTGAGGAAGTGTTTTCAGATATTTATTTTTGAGTTAGTATTTCTTTCATCTTAATTCCAGTTGCTTCTTATTCATGACTCTCAGACTGCCATTCAATGTTAGTAAGCAAATGTGGATCGGAAATGAAGAATAAGCCTCTGGGAATACACAACATTCAAAGAAATAATATTGGCTCTAATAATGCATGATAGATAGATAGATGGCATCATATCAGGCGGACATGAAAAAATAATCAATACCTATATGGTTAGATTTGCATGATTTGAGTCTTGTTGCAATCTTATTTCTTTTTTCCGATTTGCATTGCTTACTAACAGCCAGAACTTACTAACCACCAACTTGGGGGGGCTAGCCTCATTGGGGGCTCTGGGCAGTTCTTTTTGACTCTATCTTACCAATATTTGCTTTTTTCTATCTACATTACAAATTAAACAAAGCACAACTGATTGTTAAAGGATGAAAAATTTTCACGGATTTTGATGTCATATTTTTTTTTTTTCATCCAAATCCATGAATTTGTTTTGTTATGCTAAGTCTGAGAAAAAAAATCACTATATGAAATTCACTAGATTTAATCCATAATATTGAATTATTCAACTTTTTAACAAGAAGAAAAATCTCGAGTTGACGTTATAAATTGCTGCAAAACATTTTTGATTTATTTAAGATGTAATGATCTAATACGACATGTTTTTATTTAAGATGGAATGATCTAATACGACATGTTTTTATTTAAGATGGAATGATCTAATACAACATATTTTTATTTAAGATGGAATGATCTAATATGATATGTCTCTAATTTGTATTTCGATACCTTGTATTTATTTTCAATTTTTATAGTTGAATTGTTCACCTCTACTGCATATGATCCATTATAGTATATATATTTAGGTTATTAACTCATGAAAATTGCAGGAAGCCCTGTATCATAGATTTGGGAGTGAAGCCAGGAGACCCTTGCACAAGCCCTGCTAACTGCCATTGAATGATAGTTGTAATAAAAAGTAAATGAAATTAAAATGAAAATAAGAAAAAAAAATAATAATGTGACATGAATATTATTTGGGTATCAGGGTTCTGATATTTATACTATAATCATAATTAAATTCAGTTGTACTATCTTTAAAATTTATTATTATTACTATAATAAAAAATTTTCTTGTTCTTTCATTCCTTATTTAATTTGCATGTACATTATGTCCTGCCAATAACTCATAGATAATGGGCTATTCCATTTTGATTGTGAGTAAAGACAGGAAAGGCATATTGGAGATGTTTCTTGGCTTAAGCAAGGAAAAGAAAGGAAAAAATCTTTTACTTTTCTTGCTTTTTATTTACAGAATTTGGAGCCTATCATGATTGTAAAAAGAACTCCTCTATGAAAATAATCCATGTATATGTATTAATATGGAAAAACATGAAAATTTTCAATAAAATATGCATATTATTTGGAATGCACCTTTTGAGTCGGGCAATCTTGGAAAGTGTGGGAGTTAGAATGACATCCTGACTTATAGTTAAAAGGGGGCATCAGGCAAAATAGATTGAGAAGCACTGGTGTAAATCCTACGTTTATTATGTTCAATAATATATGCATATTATTTGAAATGCACCATTTGAGTCGAACAACCTTGGGAGCGAGCAGAGAGTAACATTCTGATATATGGTGAAAAGGGTGCATTGGATTGAGAACCAGTGATCTAGATAGATAGATAGATAGAAACAATGAAGTAGATAAATAGATAGATACAAACAATGAAGTAGATAGATAGATATGAACAATGAAGTAGAGAGATAGATAGATATGAACAATGAAGTAGAGAGATAGATAGATATGAACAATGAAGTAGAGAGATAGATAGATATGAACAATGAAGTAGAGAGATAGATAGATATGAACAATGAAGTAGAGAGATAGATAGATATATGAACAATGAAGTAGAGATAGATGATAGATATGAACAATGAAGTAGATAGATAGATATGAACAATGAAGTAGAGAGATAGATAGATATGAACAATGAAGTAGAGAGATAGATAGATATGAACAATGAAGTAGAGAGAGATAGATAGATATGAACAATGAACAATGTAGAGAGATAGATAGATATGAACAATGAAGTAGAGAGATAGATAGATATGAACAATGAAGTAGAGAGATAGATAGATATGAACAATGAAGTAGAGAGATAGATAGATATGAACAATGAAGTAGAGAGATAGATAGATATGAACAATGAAGTAGAGAGATAGATAGATATGAACAATGAAGTAGAGAGATATTATTTGATAATTACTTATGAAATAAAACAAATTACTGTATATGTATTTAAAGTTTAAAAATAGATCATATATTTTTATTACTATTAAATTTGTAAACCTCCTCTATAAAAAATAATCCATGGCAAAATGGTTGAGAACCACTGATGGGGAAACTTTTGAAATTTTCACAGATACTGATTGTTATTAGTATTATTTTTATTTTTTTACTGTTACTAGTGCAGTGGAGTAATGGATAGTGGCTTGGAATGAGGAATCGGAGAGCCGAGTTTGAATTCAAGTCTAATCCCTTACATTCACTTATGTGTTAACACCCTTGGGATAGGTATAAATCCTCTTCTTCTCCCCCGCCCCACCTATGGGTAAATAGCAGGACAGACCAGGTCTACTGCAGAAAGAAATGGCAACCTACTGCAGGAAAAAATCTGCCTCGTCGGTCATGTTTCAAAAGATACATGATCGCCTATTACATTCACTTACTTGCTAATACCCTTGGGAAAAGTATGAATTCTCTTCTTTTCCCCCCAGTTATGGGTAAATAGCAGGACAGACCTGGTCTACTGCAGAAAGAAATGGCAACCTACTGCAGGAAAAAATCTGCCTAGTCGGTCATGTTTAAAAAGATACATGATTGCCTATTACATATTACATTCACTTACGTGCTAATACCCTTGGGGAAGGTATGGATCCTCTTCTTCTCCTCCCAACTTTAAGTAAATAGCAGGACAGACCAGGTTCTACTGTCTTGGATGGCAACTGGTCTACCACAGAAAGAAATGGCAACCTACTGCAGGAATAAATCTGCCTCATCAGTCATGTTTCAAAAGATACATGATCACCTACGCATGTATCACACATGGCACATAACTGACTGACAATTCCTTACTGGATTCTTACCCGAGATCTGGACTAAGGAAAGGCAGTAAATGTATGCGTATTCTGTTTGTACAACATTTAATGTTAAGTGATATTCAACATGTACAGTGTTTATATTTTCTTTATATTCATAATCCTCCGAGTAGATGAGCAGTACCATGCAGAGCAAAATTTTGACTCTCTTGTCAACAGGGTTTACCAAGGATCTTGTTAATATTCTTTTTTTGTCCCTTTTTGATTGTGCCCAGTGCTCTAATAATTATAGATATAAGAATGGCCTTACATGCACCCTGATAGACAGAATAACCAATGTTTAAAATATAAAAAGGTGCATCTACTGAAATATAGTCAATGTTTGAAGTAATAAATAATTTTTTTAAATCAGTATCGCTCCATGCAAGGCAGTAAAGCCACTAAGACATAAGAGGTTACAGGGTGTGGAAGGATTAGGAACAGAAACATTAATAACTAGCAGGAAGAGGAAAGAATAACCAGAAGGCCAGTAGATATGTGCCTATATATTTGGGCAACAACCCCTCTTTAATTCATACCTTGTTAAGCAAGACTGGCAAATCTTTTATATTATATTTTTCTTGTATTAGGGACCAGATCTCCATATAGACACAATTGGAATTGTACCAACCTCAATAAGCAACATACATATTGAGAACACAAACGTGGTATGTATCTCTAACTGTAAGACGGAATGATTGACCCACCCCATCCGCTTGAAACTCAAAATTTAAGCTTCGAGGTTCATACTTAAAATTGTTCTTCTAAAATTAAATTCCTTGAAGCACAAGATGGATTTTTTTTCTCTGCTGTGTTAAGCTATTAAACTGGTTCACACTAAAACACACAGTTTTTCCCTATATGTCAGATTTAATTCCCATGTCTTTGAATTTTTTTTTTTTTCCCCATCTGCTTTGACACTGTCGGCTGTAATAATCAACATTATACACCCTTGGTAAAATGAAATAAGCTGTTAAACAACAGGAGATGAAGGTGAAAAAAAAATGGTCAGACAAGAAATTGGTTCCATTTCCTTGTTTTGGGTTGCAAATGAAGTTTTTTTTTATGGAAAATAAGAAATTGTTGGTGAAAAATTTAATTTTAAAGTGATAGGTTTTGTGTCTCTCAACACATATAGTTTAGCGTGTTCTAACGCATCACTTATAAAGGCAAATTACAGGTGTTTCTGGTTGCATATTTATAATGTGCACACATATATCCCTGCACACACACAATATATCACCTTTCTCAGATTATCTGTGTATGATCTATGAGAATGCCAAAAGTTCTGAACTGAACCAAGATGACTTTCTCTGGTTTTTGGAAATGGGTCAAACCAAAAATTTTCAGCATTCTCTTTCATATGCAGTGTGCGATGGGTAAATTGTCGCCATTTTATTTTTAATTTTATGCATGCACATTGTTTTTGATTTTGTCAACAGCAGAGTATAGTAGGGTCAGTTGAGTACTGTCTGTGAGAAAAAAAGAACACCATAACACAATTCACTCTACTTGAAATTTGGAAATGGCATGCTGCACTGCTTAGCATTTGCACTGGAAACTCCAATATGAACATTTCAGAATTGGAAAGAGTTGGTCCAATGGTGATTAAGAAGGTACAGCAGCTTGGAAAACTCACTCTGATCATTCTTATAAGAAAAGAACTCCCAAATTTATTGATGAGGGCCTCAGACTTAATACAGAGGCCTACATCAAGTGAGGAGGTAGTGCTGCCTTGGGTCAAGAGGGTAGCTGCCTATGTCTGGGAATGGGACTCGGCACAGTCAGGAAAAATGAATCATAGCTGTCAGAGAATTTCTGCAACCACATCACCCCTTAGATCTGGCCACTTAACTCCCTAGACTGCAACCCCCTTGATTATTATGTGTGGGGCACAGTTGATCAAGAGATCCCCAAAACTCCTTGTAGCACTGAAGATGAACTGAAGGCTAGGATTATGGGAGCATTTTCCAACTTAAACAAGGAAGCCATCCAGAAGAGTTGCAGGAGGCCATGGTTGAAGCCAATGGCAATT